GATTTGTGTAGGATAAGTGCAAGTCAATCTCCTCAACTTCCTCGATGGTGGCTGAATTTTGCAAGAATGGCTTCAAGTGGTGTCCATTTACCATAAAGCTTTTGTTCGTGGAGTCACTTTGGATTTCAACTGCACCATGAGGGAAGACCTTTGTGACTGTGAAAGGTCCAATCCATCTTGATTTAAGCTTTCCGAGCATGAGTTTGAGTTGAGAATTGAACAAGAGGACCTTTTGACCAATGTAGAATTCTTTTCTTGAGATCATCTTATCATGGTACCTCTTGGTCATTTCTTTATAAATTTTGGAATTCTCATAAGCCTCAAGATGCAGCTCCTCCAACTCTTGCAATTGCAACTTCCTCTACTCTCTGGCTGAGTCATAATGGATATTAAAAGTCTTCACTGCCCAGTAAGCTTTGTGTTCCACCTCAACTGGCAAATGGCAAGCTTTTCTATAGACCACCCTATATGGTGACATTCCCAAGGGTGTCTTGAATGCAGTTTTGTGTGCCCACAAGGCGTCATCAAGCCTGCGGCTCCAGTCTTTCCTATGTGGCTGCACTACTCGCTCAAGTATTTTCTTGATTTCTCTATTAGAGCGCTCAGCTTGTCCATTTGTTTGTGGGTGATAGGCAGTGGAAACTTTGTTACAACTTCATATTTCTTCAACAAGACTTCCATAGTCCTATTGCAGAAATGACTTCCTTGATCACTAATGATGGCTCTAGGGATTCCAAACCTGCAAAACAAGTTGCTACGGACAAAATTTGCAACAACTCTGGCATCATTAGTCCTGGTTGCCTTAGCTTCCACCCATTTTGAGACATAATCAACAACAAGAAGTATATAAAGAAAACCAAAAGATGAAGGGAAAGGTCTCATAAAGTCAATACCCCAGACATCAAAGATGTCACAATATGAAAGCATTAATACCCAATGGTTATGCAATATTAATATTCTCTTTTCTAAATCAATATCCCCAATAGTCATGCAAGACATTAATTTAAGAAAGCTTTAGGAGTCTACGAACTTGTTAATTTAATAACAATTAGAAGAGAAAGATTGGTTTTGTCCACCTAATCCTTTGTCTCATTTTACCCTATAGATCTATTAATTAACTGAGGTTCAGTCGCCTGACGATATAATTAATTAGGATTAAGAAAGAAGCGCAATAGGATAAAATCTAATCACAAAACGGAAATCAAATTCATATTCAAACATTAAAATTCCATAAATTCATGAACAATAGTTCCCATACCCTAGCTATGGACTTAGTTACTCACGCTAAAGAAGAGAACTAAAACAATCATAAACAAAGCCATAATCAAAAGAAATAGCAAACTAGAGTATAAGATGTGTTCCCGGTCTTCAAGTATGATCGCTTGAAGCTCCAAGTCTCGCCAAGCATGTGCCAAGGATCCTGTGCAAGAGAGACGAGATCCGATGTATTCTAAAGCAAAAGCCAAGATGTAAAAACGATCCCTTTACGATGCCTGAAATCTTCCCTTTATAGGATTTGAAAACCCTAAAAACTCTTCATAATTGGGCTTTCTGCAGATGAGCACGGCTGTGCAAGGCCTTAAGCACGACCGTGCATAGGCTTGAAGCACCCCTGATCTTATTGAATGGGTCTGGGCGTACTGACTACTGTGAAGCTCTAATCTTCCATCAATTTGGGCCCAGAATGCACCCAAAATCCACTTGCAGCCTCTTTATACCAAACTGCACAATTAATATATAAATTAGTGTAAAACCTAAATAAAATAAAGGTCAAATATGAATATATGGGTTGTAAAAGAGGGCCTAATTGCAGACTTATCAATACTCTAGACATCAAAGATGTCACAATATAGGATGGGCTATTGGGGCATCTCCTGTCTCCAAGTAATTACTCCTCATGCTCTTTGGCATTTCTCACAAATGGAATATGTTTGCCATGAGTCTTTGAAAATTGAAGGCCAATACAGTCCTGCATCTAGCACTTTCCTTGCTGTCCTCTGGGGTCCTTGATGACCTCCTACAGCTAAAACATGGCAGAACTATAGTATGGATGGAATCTCTTCATCAGGTATGCACCTTTTGATGACTTGGTCACTGCAGAACTTCTATAACTAAAAGTCATCCCAAACATAATGTTTGGCATCACTTCTTATCTTTTCGTTTTTAGCTCTTGATGCATCTGTTGAAAAGGCCCCTGCTACAAGAAAGTTAACGATGTCAGCATACCAGAGTGCCCGTGAAGCATACAACTTTAAGAGTTGCTCATCAGAAAAATCATCCAAAAGTGGAATAGGATCAAGAACTCCTTTTATCCTGCTCAGGTACTCTGCTTCTAGATTCTGAGTTCCACTTTCCACTTCTATCTTTGATCTCTAAATCAAACTCTTGAAGTAAGAGCATCCATCTTATCAGCCTGGGCTAAGAATCTGTCTTTTTCAACGAATACTTCAAGGCAGAATGATCAGTAAAAATCACAACTTTTGACCCCAAAAGATATGACCTAAATTTGTCCAATGCAAAGATTATGACCAACAATTCTTTTTCAATTGTAGTGTAATTACATTGTACTGGATCCAAGGTTTTAGAAGCATAATAAATGATGTGAGGAAACTTACCAACTCACTGTGTTAAGGCAGCTCTTACTACAAAATTGGATGCATCACACATCAATTCAAATGGCTTGGTCCAATCTGGGGGTTGGATGATGGGTGTGGTAGTCAGGGCTTCCTTAAGCATATTAAAGGCTTCTTTGCACTTTTCATCAAAATTGAACTTAGCCTCTTTTTGCAAAAGCTTGGAAAGGGGAATGACAATTTTGGAGAAGTTTTTTATGATCTCCAGTAGAATCCTGCATGACCAAGGAGGCACGAACCTCTCAAACACAAGAAGGGTAAGGCAATTGTGCAATAATATCTAATTTTGTAGGATCTATCTCAATGCCTATTTCAGCTATGATATGACCTAACACCACACCTTACTCTACCATGAAATGACATTTTTCAAAATTTAACACAAGATTAGTGTCAATGCATATCTTCAAAACTTTCTCTAAGTTAACTAAGCATGCAGAAAAAAATGAGCCATATACAGTAAAATCATCCATAAAAACTTCTATACAATGCTCTACTGAGTCAGAAAAAAATGCTTAACATACATCTTTGAAATGTGCTTGGAGCATTGCACAAGCCAAAGGGCATTCTCCTATAGGCAAAAGTGCCAAAAGGACATGTAAAAGTGGTTTTTTTTCTGGTCTTTAGGTGCTATGCAAATTTGAAAATAACCAAAAAATATATCAAGGAAACAGTAATGAGACTTACTAGCCAACTTCTCCAGCATCTGGTCAATGAAGGGCAAAGTAAAATGATCCTTCCGGGTTGCTTGGTTTAGTTTCCAGTAGTCTATACAGACTCTCCAACTGTTCTGAACTCTGGTGGGTATTAATTCATCTTTCTCATTCTTCACCACAGTGAGTCCAAATTTCTTTGGCACCACTTGGACTGCGCTAACCCAAGTGCTGTCTGAGATAGGGTAGATGATCCCAGCCTGCAGTAACTTGGTGACTTCCTTCTTCACCATGTCCAAAATAGTGGGATTTACCCACTTCTGAGGCTGCCTCACTGGTTTAGCACCCTCCTCTAATATTATTCTGTGCATGCATAGAGAGGGGCTGATTCTAGGAATATCAGCGAGGGTCCAACCTATAGCTTTCTTGTGTCTCTTAATCACTTCAAGGAGCTTCTTCTCTTGATCAATATTCAGCTTTGTGGAGATTATCACTGGAAGCTTTTCATTTGCCTCTAGATAGGTATATTTCAGATGCTCTGGCAAAGGTTTAAGCTCCATTGTGAGAGGTTGCTCCACAAAGGGAAGTGATCTGGTACTCTCAGTAGAAGAAATTTCTACAGCATTCAAACCAAAGGGGTTAGATTCAACTATACTTGTTGAACTCAATAAATCACATTCTCGCCCTACTAATTTTTCAATTTCTCCAATATCAGAAGTTGCAGAATTTACCTTCAAAAAGTCAGAAATACAAGTGTCACACATAAAAGAATTAATACAATATTCACAAATGGGAGTATCTATTAATTTAGAAAAATTAAGAGAAAAGTCTTCTTAAGTCTTCTTTATCCTTGGGCATTGTGGGTTCTTGTAAGGAGGTTCCCTGAACCTTGAGATTGCATCTGGTTCAGAGAGGAGGCTAGTTGTCCCACTTGATTCTCCAAAGTCTTGATACTAGCATCAATTCTCTACTGAAAAGTAATGTTGTTCATGATCAGTTGCTTCATAAGCTCTTCCAATGATGGCTCATTTTTTTGGGATGCACTTGGTTATGAGGAAGATAGTTGGTGATGGTGTTGGACTTGTTGTAGTTGATGTTGGGATTGATGGGACCTATTTGGGCCAGCACGATGTCCTTGATATTGGTTGCCTTGCTACTGGTTTTGCTGTTGAGAATTGTTTCTCATCTCAAATTTGGATGGTTCCTCCAACCTGGGTTGTATCTATTGGAAGATAGATCCCAATTGGGTTGTTCCTGCAAATTTTGAAAATGAAACTTATTAGTATAAATATTTGCAGCATAAGCTTGAGGATTACCTTCTAGAGTGTCAGACTCTTACAATGTAGAACAGCTATCAGTGTAATGGTCTGTAGTTGAACAAATGTCACACAGCATGGCTGGAGTAGATGGTGGAGGAGGTAAAGATGCAACAACACTCTTTTGTATGAAAGCCAATTGCTTCACCATGGATGCTAATTCATCAAGCTTGTGTTCTAGCTTACTAGATTCAGCAACTTGTACTTCACTCACATTTCTGGTAACACAACAATTTTGCCTTGTTACAATTTGTTAGGAGTTGGAAGCCATGTTCTTTATCAAGTTATAGGCTGCAACCAGAGTCTTGTCTACCAGTGCCCCTCCACTTGCGGCATCTATTATGCTCCTATCCATGGGGTGCAGTCCCTCATAAAGGTATTGGATCAACAATTGAAGACTAATTTAATGGTGAGGGCAGCTGGCACACAACCTCTTGAATCCTTCCCAATATTCATAGAGGGTCTCTCTTTCAAGCTGTCTTATCCCACAAATTTCCTTCCTTATAGTTGTAGCTCTTGATGTTGGGAAAAATTTCTCCATGAAAAGTCTCTTCAAGTTATTCCAACTAGTAATAGATCCGGGAGGGAGATAGTAGAGCCAATACTTGGCTGCATCCATCAGAGAAAATGGGAAGGCTTTCAATTTAACATGCTCTTCAGGTATACCTTGTGGCCTCATGGTTGAACAAACTATGTGGAATTCCTTGAGGTGTTTGTGTGGATCTTCACCTGCAAGACCATGGAATCTAGGCAACAAGTGTATTAGTCCTGTCTTAAGAACAAAGAGTGCATCAATGTCAGGATACTGTATGCATAAAGTTTGATAAGTTACATCAGGTGCAGCCAGCTCCTTTAATGTTCTTTCATTGTCAGCCATTTGGTTCAATTCAGAATTTCAAGAATGTGGTGATGAGTAGATAAATGAAGGAGATGAAGGTTCCTCAAAATGTTCAGAATTATGCCTATGTATTATATTGTTACCATGAAATGTCCTATCAATCTCTGGATCAAGTGGATACAAGTCTCCATGATTTGATCTAGTCATGCACTAGAAACTAACTATGAGAAATGAAAAGAAGTAAACTAAATAAAGTTGCAAAAAAGCAGAAAAATACAGATAATAATTATGCAAAAAACTAATGTCTAGGTGCAGTAAAATAAAGCAAAGAAGTTAAGCAACAAGAAACATAAAGAAATTACAATTGATTACAAAAAAAAGCAGCAGAAAGTCACAAATTCTGCAGAATTCTATAGAATTATGCAACAGAAACTGAACAAAATGCAAAAAAATTAAAGACAAAACACGAAAACAGAGTAATTAACAAGTTCAATGCAAAATTAACACGAAAGTCTCTGGCAACGGCGCCAATTTGATGAACGAAAGATTTGTCGCGAATCCTCATCAAAATATAAATAGAAATTAATGTAATATTAGGGTACTAACTTAGGTCGACTCCAATGACAATGGTTGAGAATGTGCATCAAACATGTTAAAAACATTAATTATGAAAGCAATTAATTGGAAGGGTTTGTGTAGTTCCAAGGTTGAAATAAAGAACAAGAAGCAAAATTATAAAGTTCAATCAATAAAAAGTGGTAACCCTTAGTTCATTCATGTAGACTATATCCCTATTCCTCTCAAGATTTAATACTCTTCCCCTCCTCCCAGAATTAGGTTAATTTAACAAGCGAAAATCAACCTTATATTTCTATATGATTTAAGCAATTCAATGAACTCCAATCTCTCATCCCAAGATTATGCAATCTTAGAAATAAACCCAGAATTAAGCAATTCAAGTGTAGAATTTTATTAAAACGAATTAGGGTTCATTACGCAATGCTCCCCTTATTCGCCCATTAATTCAATTCAAGAGTTTGAGAGACAGAAATTCATGGAAGGAAAAGAACTATATTAACATTCAAAACCCAGGAATTCAAGAGTCTAAATGAACTCTCTATGAATTACAAAAGGTTTAGCCCTCCATGAGGATGGGTCTTACAATTATCAAATGAAAATGAAGAAAAACCAATAACATTAATGCAGAAATAAAAGAAGAATTAGGAAGAAAATGGAAATCAAACCCTAGGTTGGGTCCTTGGCTATCACCCAAGGCTGACTTAAGCTCTCCAAGTGTTCTCAAAATGGCAAAAATCTAAAAAATGTAAAAAAATCCTAACCCTATTTTCTAAAATTCTATTTATAGTGCAGTGGTTGTCGTCCATAGTAGCTACTATTTAAGTCATAGTAGCTAGGTGCAGCTTGCATCCTGTCATCCCTCTCTGGAGTGTCCATTATGAGCTCGCGCAGCGTAAGTAGCCACTATGGAACGACAATGGCTACGCGCAAGATTGGGTCAGTATGGCCTTCTTTAGAGTGTCCACTATAGGATCTAAAGTGGCTACGTGCAGGCCCTCTTCAGTCTGGGGTCTCTGTAGTGTCTACTACGACTCTGAAAGTGATCACTTTAGTCTGCCCTCTGGATCTAGCTTGTTGTAGTATCCATTATCATTTCTAAAAGTGGTAACTTTCAACTCAAATTTTCTCAAAGGCTAAGAATCCATAGGATAAGCCTAGAAAATCCTGCACAGTTATTCAAATGATCAAAATAGTAAATTATATCTATATAAATCAATGTAAATTAACCAAAAATTAAGAAACCTATAATATTTGACTAAAATGATATTTTTATGTTATTTATACTTCCTAAGTCTACTTTTTCTATCAAAGAACACTAAAAAAACAAGTGAAAATTCAATAAAATGTGGATTCATCAAATATAAGGATAAAAGAAAAGAAAAGAAAGAGGGAACCACACATAAAAAGCATTAAAAAAATAAAGTGATAAAAAGAGTAAAATAACAAAAAAAATAAAGAAATAGTTGTGTAATAATTACTCTTTATAATGAAAGACAGACAAAATAAAAGAGTAATGAAAATTTGTACTTTTTTCTTACAATATCCTTGTCTTTTTTTTTGTATTTTTAGTGTGAAAAATTCTATGCAAAAAGTCTTCTTTAAGAAATCCCTTCTGAAAAATCCTCTCTTCAAAATTACTCTCTATGAAAGAAATTCATCTAAAATTCCTCTGTGCAAGAAAATCTTCCTTGTCTGTACAGGTTAGTCACTATTTATAATATAATTAGTACCTAATAAAAGGAAATTAAGTATATTTTTTAGACATTGATTATTTTTCTTAACTATATATTCCTAAATTAACTAAAATTAAAAATGGAAACAATTATTATTATTTACAGAATATCTTTATGATTTTTATTGATTATATGTCTTTTTAATTATTCTTTTTATTTTTTTGAAATTCATTATTTATTATTTAATAAAATTTGCAATCTGAACAAAAATGAGTATTCACAATAAGTTTCTGCTATTCTAGAAGCACATTTATAAATATTATTCTGTGCTAAATTCAACAAAGAATCCCTCCTAGGCAAAATTTATTTTTTATAGTCCATTAAACGAATCGAAGTACATTTCACTTAAATGAGGGAAATCAAATTTTGTACACAAATATTAAAGTGCTGCAGTTCATGGTCTCCTTCCTGTATACAGAGGTCTGAAAAAACATAAGTGAACAGAATGTATAGAATAATTGTTAAGTGATCTTAAGGATAAAAATGATTTAGAGAAAAAGGGTGACAAAGCGGTTGCTGCACTTTTATGTTGCAATACTGCGAAGGCTTAACCAAATCATGTCATGCATCCTAAATACCCTATAGTTGTTGTTAAGTTTAGAATAAAGGGAACTTCTCCTAGACACCTAACCATTCTTAATATGCTACCTTTTATGATTGTATCCCAACTATTGAAGCGTAATTTATTTATGTGATAATAGGGTTTACATGGGCAATTTAATTAGAATCTAATTCAAATAGTCTATTGGGTAAAGCCCTAAGAATTTAGTCGAGCTCACACATGTTATAACATTGGGAAGTTGTAATATCGTTCAATGAGTTAACCGAAGCTAGGTGAGGAAAAATGCTATATGTGTAGCAAAGAGTGAAGGTCCCCCATGTGTCATGTTTGGAGGGAGTTTTTCAGTCTGCATTCAGCTAGCATGGGACAAGGTATTAAAACTTAAGATTGGATGGGTATTAAAACTTATGTTTTTTAGTTCACATGTTATGCAAAAATGTGTACACATAGAATGGGTATTTTAAAAAGACAAGATGACGATATATATATATATATATATATATAGCTCTACTAATTTTGAAAAAATTTATAGTATTTTGGGTAGAAATTAAATCATTCTTATGCTAAAAGTTGTATGTTGACTAAAAAAAATTCACATTTTTCCTAAAGAAACCAAGATGAGAAAATTTAGAGTATTACACAATCTGTTGTTATATGGTCAAACTTTCCCTAGCAAAAGTAATTGAAATTTGTTCTTTTTTTTTATAGTTATTGCCTCTTCCTCTACCATGTTTGGTAGATTTGAAATTATTTCCACCACTTTCTTTACTAGGTGGTCTGAAATTATTGTCTAATCCTTTGTTGAAATTGTCATTTCCTTTGAAAGTAGATCTAAAATTATTTTCATTACTTTCTTGATTATGCAGTCTAAAATTATTCTCCTTCTCGGTTGAAATTGTCACTTCCTCTTCCTTTGAAATTACCACGACTACTACCTTTAAAGTTACCTCTTCTTTTATTATTAAAATCAACACAACTTCTCCCTTCTCTACTTTGGCTAGATTCAACTATTTTGTTGAAATTCACCAGGCTCTTCAATGCTTCTTCGTTTACTTTTTCAATTTTTTTCAAGATTCTGCTTACATTGCTTTCAATGCTTCCTTGCAACTTCTCAACCGTCATAGTGTCTATTTCGTGAGACTTTATTATTATAGTCATCACATGATCAAACTTTATCAATATTGTGCATATAAATTTTTCCACCACCTTACTTTCAGGAATATCTTCTACTTACATCCTCATCTTATTGATGATGTTTGTAATACAAAGAAAGTATTGCTTTACAGTTTTTGAGTTAGACATCTTATATCTTTCATATTCTCTTCGCAAGGATTGCAATTTGGATTTCTAAGATTTCTCTACTCCTTTTCATAACAGGTTCAAAATGTCTCATGCTTCTTTGGTGGTTTTGGCATTTTCTATTTTGCCAAAAATTGAGTAATCTACTCCTTGGTGGATTTGTGAGAGCGCCAATTGGTCCCTTCTACAAGCACCATCATCAGCTCCTTCTTACAAACATGGTTTAATAAAGCTCAAAATATGGTGAGCTTTCAAATGGGTGGACATCAACAATGCTTAATAGTTATAATCAAGTTTTACATCTAATTTAGGATCGAACCAAACAATATTGTAGTTTGTGACCATCTCTTTGTCAAATAAACTTTCAAAATTTTAGTAAAGTAGAAACTCTCTTGTTTATTACACACTTAATAATTTTTTTTACACTCACTATCTAACAAATTCACCAAACTAATGTTGGATCTAACTAACTCTAATACTAATTTGATAACAGTTGG